GAAATCCTTTTTGAGAAGCAAAGTATGAGAATTTTCTACATAGTACTGAATGTCATTCCATAGTGCAGGGGAGTGGGATTATGTAAACCAACAATAAACCACTCAGATGATAGAAAATATTGACAAACTGTTCTGCTGTCTGTTATTCACAAGATCACTTTTGCATTTTAATACAAGGTTTAATGTATAGCAGATGCCGATGCTAATCAAGGAAAATTCCATCCTTCATGTTCTGATCAATCTGAAGATGTTTTTCTCCAGAGATGAAGAGCTGCTTGAATTCGGAAGTGTAGTCTGGACTCCAAGGAATAATCTTTGTAATTATTTCTGAAGACAATAACAATAAAATTGTATAGTCAAAAATTGTTTTTGTATACATCAGAGCACCACAGACCACCCAGATCTCTCTCTAATCTCTGCATAACAGTGGATCTTAATAAAACACAGATTGTGTGAGGGAAGAAGGACACCAAGTCTGTATTTCCAGAAGCTTCCTGGTGATAACCAAAAGAGCATACTTTGAGAAGTAACATTCTACTTATTTATGAAACCATTCACCACAGCAAGAAGGCTATACGGAGACTACAACTTAGGTGAACTATTCCTAAATAGTCTGATTTCCTTTTTTAAAAATGGAAAATATTAAGACAGATTCATATAAACACAATGAACACAATCATTCCAAAAAACTAAAAATATCTTTAACCCTCTTGAAGAAACTGCAACAAAAATAGCAGAATTAAATTAAGAAAAGTGAGGGAAGGGGTGGATTGGGAGGGATGGATGGGAATGTTGGAAGGAGTGACACTGATCAGGATGCACTGGACCGTAACTGCTTTGTTGAATGACAACTCCTTTGTACAATTACTCAAAGATAATAATAAAAATATTTTTAAAAGCAGGATTACTTAGTTGCACCAGAATTAGTTATAACCAAGAGTTATAAAATAACTAAGTCAAAGTCAGAAGAAGTTCTAGAAGGCTGGGGATGGAGCTCCATGGTAAAGCACTAGCCTCAGTTTGTAAAGCCACTTGTCACAAATCCCTGAGTTTAATCCCCACACTACAAAAAATAGGGGGAGAAATATACGTATTACCTGACTTGTATAATCCCTCTGCACAACACCTTAATAATAGCAATAAATTGTACTTTAAAAAGTAGTGGGGAGGGAGGCTGGGAAGGGAGGTGAAGGAGGAGGCTGCAATGCTTGATAAGAAATGTACTCATTATCCTGCCCATGTAATTGTAACCCCTCTGTACAGTATGTTCTCAAATAAAATAAAATTAAATTAAAAAAAAAAAAAGTAGTGGGGAGGAGAGGGACATTATGTGAAATCCTAACTTACAGCTGGGTACTAGTGGTTCATGCCTATAATCCTAAAAAATTCAAGAGGCTGAAATGTTGAAAATCTCCATTTGGACCCAGCCCAGACAGACAAACCAGAAACTCTCATCTCCAATTAACCAGCCAGCATGGCGTGAGTGGTAGAGCACCAGCCATGAGTGAAAAGGCCAAGTAAGAGCAGGAGGCCTTGAATTCAAGCCCTAGTAGAGCAGAGGTGGGAGGGCTTACTTAGATACTTCAGGCTGCCCTGTGCCTTTGCCAGAATTATTTAAAAATCAGCAAAATGGAGTAATTTTGGCATGGGTCTCCTGTCTCCATCTTGGCAGATGGAGTCCTGGAGCACCTGTCTTTGTAGTAGCACTTAATTCTATATCTTCTACTTTACACAGGGGTAAGGGTTACCTATGGCTTTGATGACCATTACTAAAATGTGTTGATCATAAATGAAAATCAACCTCTTACACTAAGGCTAGCCAAAGGACAAAAGTGAGAATTTTCCTAAATGACTGGCCACCAATGTTGCCAATTTTATAGAGCCAATTTTGACAACTTTATAAAGGAAAACTGCAGCTAACTGCAGGGGCTCTTCAAGAAAATGACAGAGCTGATTTAATATGACCTTATGTACTGGTCAGCAAACTAACTCAAAAGAGCCAACTCTGAGCTACATATTATTTGTATGGCTACTTTTCCTATAACTGAATGAAGAAGACCTTATTCTCTACTGCCAAGATTTACTCTGAGCAGAATATTATTAGGCCATTTATAGAAAAAGTTTGTTGACTCCTGATATTGAATGTAATAAGTTAAACAATTACTTAGATATCCATGATCACATCTGTAAGTAGTCACAGGGTTTAAGAGTTGGAAATGGCATAGTTAAGCTCAAAAGCTATGAATATAGATGAGTCATATATAGATAAGTCACATGACTTATACACACACACACACACACACACACACACACGCATATATATGCAGAGGTAATGTTTATAATTTTAACTATGTATTATTCCTGTTGTTACAATGGTGCTGTTAAGTCTGACTCCATAGCAATCCAGGGAAATCTGCCTTTACCACTTACCTTGCAGTTTCTAGAACTTTTATGGCCTTGTCAATTTCCCCTTGGCTTTTATACAAAAACGCAAGCTCAAACAAAGTGAATGGCACTAGGTAGTGGTCATACTTCAGTAGCTTTTCACTGAAAGGGTAAATGAAAATCAAGTAAGCCTTAATAGAACAAGAAAATCATTTTTTCAATGCTTATATTATTCCACATTCCAGAGAAATATGCAGCATTATACCTATTATCAGAGGAAAAGCTGCCATTATATAGTTATGGAACTTAATAACTATGATAATAAGTTGTATGCTTTCAGTTCTTACTCTTTAATAATAAATCCAGCAGCAATGTTTACTGTCTTCTAGGTAAAGGAAAGCATGCAGACCTTTAAAGATAAGCCCTAGATGATCTGAAAAAGAATGAAGCTCTGGAAAAATATGAGTAATATCCGTTCAGATTCATGGCAGAACCTGGCTCACAAAACTGTAAGAAAAACTCTCAGATGCCAGAACCTAAAAACTCTGCCCTTGTGAAAGTGACTAAATAATATAAAATTATAAAACAAGAAGCAAACAATTCATTATGAAATTTAATAAGCAGGATAAAAGCATGCATAGGCCAGCCATATAAGCTCACGCTTATAATTCTAGCTGAAATCTGAGGATCACAACCTGGGCAGGAAAGCCCATGAGACAAGCTCCAATTAACCACCAAAAAGCTAGAAATGAAGCTGTGGCTCAAGTAGTAAAGCACTAGTCTTGAGCAAAAAAGCTAAGTGACAGCACCCAAGCCTGAGTTCAAGCTCCAGTAACAGTACACATGCACAGGCGCATGTACACACAATGTACATACACACATACAAGTGCAAATAGCTCATCATTTTGTGGAACTTTAAAATGCAGAACTAGGTTGTGGGATGATATGAAGGAGCTTAGGGTCCACTTTTGTCTAATCCCCAAGGCTACAGGAACTGAGATCTCTACTTAACACTTAAATCTTAAAAGACCTACTCCTTTAGACCAAGGGCAGACTAAAAGAAATTCATTAACTGGCACTAAGATAAGGATAGTTTTCTCCTTGGCTCACACTTTTGGTAGCAAGAAAAAAACATTCCTGTGGAAAATTAGCCAATAGGCCCATCCTCACATAAATTTGCAACTAAAGTTACATTGGCCAAATGATGTAAAAATATGTAAGTAATGAAATTAACATAAAATTGGCTCCAGAATAGAAAAGGCTTTACAGAATGCCTGGAAGAAATAGCAAAATTCAGAAGTACTTTAAGTGGGAGACAGCAAGGGATAGGTGCCACTGTCCAAAAAGAAATGTACTCATTACCTGACTTACATTCATTGTAACCCTACTGTTTATCATCTTTCTAACAATAAATTTTTTTTAAAAAATTAAAAGTACTTTAGAGAGACTCTCTATGTATCTTCATATCTGAAGATAAAACCCCACTGAACAGGTGGCTCACACCTATAATCTTAGCTACCCAGGAGGCTGAGATCTGAGGATCATGGTTCAAAGCCAGCCTGGCAGGAAAATCCATGAGACTCCTACCTCCAATAAACCACTAGTAAACCAGAAATGGGACTGTGGCTCAACTGGTAGAGTGCTCGCCTTGAGCTGAAGAGCATAGGGATAACACCCAAGGCCAGAGTTCAAGCCCATGACCAACAAGACAAAAAAAAACAAAAAACATTGAAAGTGATCTCACAATCCAAAATTATCAAAAAGGGGTAAAACGATTCATCATGAGATTCAATAAACAGAACAAAAGCACAATCAGTCCTTACTTTGAACAAGCCTTACAAGAACACCACTAAAATAGCTCTCATGCATACTTCTTTAACACGTTCACTAAATACAAGGCATTATTTATTTAGGAAACAAATAATGTCTTATCTTCTTGATATATAAATACCAGTTCTCTTAGATTGCCATAAATACTGTCAGGAGGAAGGGGACCAGGTAGCCATAGATGGAAGGCACGTGATAAGGAAAATAAGATATCAACTGGTAATCTAATGCTGCAATCTTTTCAGCTTGCACTGTTTTCAAAAAACTTGAACTGATACTTTAAAATCAGGAAATTGTCTACAAAATCCAGCTTCTTGGCTTTTCATGAACAACGGTAGGGACTATTGTTATTGGGCCCACACTGTGCAGAGCAATAACCAATTAGAGGTGAGATTGTGTCCACTCTTTAGAAAGAACAATTTCCCTGTTCCAGCCATTATTCAACCTACTTCATTCAGTAAGGTCTGTCTCTGCAGACATTTGCATTTGTTTTTGTACTACAGGAAGAGTGTCAGGGATCTCAGCCTTGATTCAGTTCTGTGATTGATAAAGGAGTAAGGCATCACTGCTATTGACAACAAATATTACATGCCTAAGAAATGCCCCTTTGCCAAAAAAAAAGAAGAAAGTATAGTGTTTGTCATGTCTTTCTTCCCTGTCAAAAGACTGCAATGATTTAAATCTATTTACTTAGTCCCTAGGATCCAGTACAGTAGGTGCACATAGTGGGTGTTCAGTCATCAATGGAACAGAGAATGGTCAAAACCCCAAATGCATGAATTAAAAAGCACATTAGAGGTTTGAGAAGAGAGAACCAGGGGCTGGATAGACACTTGTTAGCCAGACCATAAATTTAGTTTTTACAGGTCATTTTTAAACACCAAGTAGAAATGGATAAAGCATCTGGCCTATTTCGACCATAGTTTCATTTATGACGAACAAAAAACACTAGTGGATGTTCCCCCTTGGTAACACCAAGTGAAAGTTTAGCAGCCTAAGATCACAGCATTTGGCTCGACTTTGAAGTAGCAATGCCCAGAAAGCATGATCTGTTCTTACCATTCCAGCACGTGGTTGAAACACAGCTCAGCCTGCAAGGGCCGCTGCAAATTCTTGAGGCAGCATCCTTTAAGCAATTTTACTAAGCACTCATCATCCATAGAAAAATCATTGCAGCCTAGGAACAAACAAGAAACATACACAAAAAGAGAAAAAATAAACTCTGGTTTATTTGCATTCTGGGGATGGCATCCAGGACCTCCTATCTCTTAAAAAAAAAAAAAACCATTCTACCACTGAGCCATACAACCCAACCCAATAATACCTTTAAAAGATGCTAATTAAGAAGGAAGTTTACATTAGTCAGGTTGCAGGGGGACCATTTAAATAAGGAAAATGTTTTTAGTATTTGTTATGTTTCACTACATGCAACACAAAAATGACAATATTTCCCATCAAAAGAATGTGGAGTTTACTTAGTGGCATACCTTTTAATTAAACTGGGTTCACTCTACCTACTCACAAAAATTTTTTAGGTGGTCCCACTCTGAGTTTTGTGACCTTAGACACAACAGGAAATATGAACTCTAAATAAAGTAAGAGCTTTATTAATTCTGTAAAAGGTAAAGCCAGGAGGAACAAGAAGGCTGCTGCCTCCTGTTGTTTTGGCTTCTAACTGTGTTGGCTTCAATGCGGGGAGGGTAACACTTCCATATGGAGAAGCAGATGGCTTTACACCCATTAAAAATTCAGGAAGTAGAACTCCCTCTCCAGATCATTATGTTTACAACTTATCAATTCTCCCAGGTTATGTTCTTTTGGGGGAAAATTGTGCTGTAAAATTAGACAAAATGGTTTTGAAATACATGAAAAGTATCTTTAAAAAATCCCTACAAACTTCTAAATGCTTAAGAGTAATGACAGGGATTTTCTTTTAGCACTTTTTCAAATTGTACAATCCAAACCATACTATGTTTGACATGTATCTGACAAAGGTAGCCTCTCCACACTTACCACTTGTGAAAGCTTTTTGTTGATTTTTTCTTTTTAGTTCTTGTATTTTTCAAATGCAAGTTATATACAACTAACAAGTCATTCTGAGACAGACAGCTAATTTACACATTTCAGGCTGGGGGGAGTCGGGGTGGGGGAGTGAGGTACTCAAGGAGCATAAAGATAACTACTAGGCCCTGGAGTCCCTCATACTGAAATTCTCCTGTTTTCAATACAGCCTGAACAATCACCAGCCATTCATGCTGGTGTTTTAGCTGGTAAACTGTTTGCCTATGAAAGGCTAACAATGCTACTGAGCTAACAGGGTCGTGGTGATAGGGTGTCATTTCAATTGCTGAAATCAGCTGGAAATTCACTTCCAATGCCTGATAGGTCACTTACTTTTTAAAAAGTAATAATCACAGATACCAACACCACATTGTATTTCCTATTACTTAGTGGAAACATTTTTTCTAGGAAAAAAAAAGGCAATCCATGCTTCTAATCATAGATGTTTACTGAACTACATAATAGTCAAGAAGTAGTATCTTTCAAAGCCTAAAGCTAAAGACCTAGAGCCCAAATTAGATATATCATTTTGTATATTTCTCGAGTTTTGTGTAGTAGGGTTTTTTTGACAGTTTGTGTTATGACAACATTTTATTGCTCTGTCAATGGTAATTTTTTTTAATGAGGAACAGACATAGCATCATGGAAAATAGCAGCAAAGACACAAGCAACTTTCATGTCAATCTTGCCTTAAAGCTATGACAAATGGATTCAGAAAGTCCAAACTCCTTTAAAAACCTTTGAAGCAAAACCATTTTTCCTCAGAGCACAGAACACTGTCTATCAGATAATTATCATGAGAGTTCTGTCACTATTCTCAATCTTATGAATGAGCTCATGGATAAAGACATCAACATACAACTTCCATTTCACATTAAAAGAAACTACATGGTAATGATACCCAAGCACATTTCCATCACAAAAGATCTACTAAACTTAATTGGTTAAGGCTTCTTTAAGGAGAAGCTGAGGAACAGGGGAGATAAAAGCAAAAACTACAAAAATATCTGTTTTGAACTTCTTTGATGCTAGCTGTAATTCACTAAGAGAAAAATAACAATAGAAAATGTAGAAAGCTATCCAAACAGTAATACAAAATAGACAAAGTAGATCTGCTATACCAAATCCTGGCTGCATAATGAATTTAGTTAAGATTTTAAAGAAAACACTAATGGAATTAATACCAAATGACTCCAGGCATGTTACCAGTACTTTTGTGTTTTCAGAGCTCTAGCCTTGGTATCCTTGGAATTAAAAACTATAGCCAAAGCAATGCCAGAATAGATCAATTATATCTTCTCTCTTTCCTACAACTACACCTGCCAAAGCTACCAACAAAAACACATTCTAAGCTGGGCACCAGTGGCTCATGCCTATAATCCTAGCTACTCAGGAGGCTGAGATCTGAGGATCGCAGTTCAAAGCCAGCCTGGGCAGGAAAGTCCATGAAACTCTTCTCTCCAATAAACCACTCAAAAAAAACAGAAGTGGCACAGTGGCTCAAGTGGTAGAGTGCTAGCCTTGCGCTGAAGAGCTGAGGGACAGTGTCCAGGCCCAGAGTTCAAGCCACACAACAGACCAAACAAAGAATACATTCTATTTCCAGTAATGAAACTCAGAGATGGGATTGAGGTTGGTGTACCCTCAGGTTTACAACTTCACTCCTTCTAGCTATTCATTTTCTCCCATCCTGAAGGATGGGAGCTTAATCAGCTAAAGGTCCTAACAAGAACAGGGCCATGGGTAAGTCCAGCATGTCTACCTGTCTGTCTCAGTTTCCCCCTGACCCCAATTATCTCTTAAAGTTTAAACACTTTAGGTGTGGCTTAAATTCTTCAGTGTTTCTCAGGATGTAGAAAAAAACAAAAAATAGTTGGATTTTCTAAGCCATTATTGTATTTCATAAGCGTAATATATGTATTACTCCTTTAATTTTTTTCTCCAATCAGTAGAGGGAAAAATTAATTTGGGAGATTTGAAGGTAAAGAGTGTTGCTCAGAGGGAAAAACAGTAGTCACTCTTTTAGATTCAAGACGTCATGAATTACAAAGTTCCATTTTGTAATGCTACATTAGGAGTTTATACTACAGAAAACTGGTATTTATCAGAATTCATTCTGCTGAACCCAAACCCCTAGCTTGGTAGAAAAACAAAGAAAGCTGGCCTACTTTAATGGGGGGTTGGGGGAAGAGAGGGATAGAATACCTTACTGTAGTCATTTAAACTGTTAACCCAACTGTTACCATTTAACTAAAAAACTTTTTTTTTCCCCTTTCTAGGTTAAGATTCACCAGAAGAACACTGACATTGAACTTCCAAGCCTCCATCTCTGTAAAAAATAAATTTCTCAGTACGTTTTCTTTTTTGGCAGTACTGGGAAGCAAATTTCTTTACAAATTACTGTGCCTATGATATGCTGAAACCAGACTATGACAAGCAATTCCTCAAAACAAACTAAAATAGAAATGATAATTGATCAAGCAATTTTACTTCTAGCTAAATATATCCCAAAAAAATGAAGCTGGCTTTTGAAGACAGACTTGTACATCCACATTCATAGCAGCTTTATTTCTAATGGGAAGGAGGTGGAACAGCCCAAATGTCTATCAGCAAATGAAGCAAAACATGAACTATACACTCAGTAGGAATACCACATTTCCTTATAAAAGGGAAGTTTGACATATGCTACAATACAATAAACCCTGAAGATGTACTCAATAAAATAACCAATCACAAAAGGACAAATACAGGGGTTGAAGTAGTTTGTTTACAGGTATCAAAACAGAACCTGTTGAAATTGCTTTGAAAAATGAAGCTGAGGTAAGGTCGACTGATAGAGCATGTCATGTTGACTGGGATGTGCTGTGTGTGTGAAAAATATCCGTGAAAGCCCCCCTAACGCCCCATACACCTGATATATATTATTAAATATAAATAAAACTTTTTTTTTTTTTTTTGGTGGGTCGTGGGGCTTGAACTCTGGGCCTGGGCACTGTCCTTCAGCTCTTCAGCTCAAGGCGAGTGCTCTACCACTTGAGCTACAGCGCCACTTCCAAATAAAACATTTTAAACAAAGAGCAAGCTCTGTATGATAGCATTTCATATGAAGGAGATATACAGCAATCGTATGCATAATAACAGGAAGAAGGGTGGTTGTCTCTCACCAGGAGAGAGTGATGGGCTAGTTGATGACATTGCTGATCAAAACACAGTGTTTATTTAAAAGACAGAATCAGAAATGTTCAAACAAGAAAACTGAGTATCATTGACCCAACAGTTTCCATTTCAAAATAAAACAGGTTTGTCAGGTGCCAGTGGCTAGCTCATTCCTGTAATCCTACTCAGGAGGCTAAGATCTGAGGATCGTGGTTTGAAGCCATCCTAGGCCAGTAAAATCTATGAGACTCTTATCTACAATTAATTACCAAAAAGCCAGAAGCAGAGCTGTGGCTCAAGTGGTAGCACTAGAATGCTACTGTTGAGCAAAAAAACAAACAGAATCCAGGCCCCAAGTTCAACCCCCTGAATCAGCACCCAAAAAAAATTTGGGGGGGGTCCAGTTGTGGGGCCTGAACTCTGGGCCTGGGCGCTGTCCCTCAGCTCTTCAGCTCAAGGCTAGCGCTCTACCACTTGAGACACAGTGCCACTTCCAGCTTTTTTCTTTTTGCTTATGTGGTGCTGAGGAATCGAACCCAGGGCCTCAGGCATGCAAGGCAAGCACTCTACCACTGAGCCACCTTCCCAGTCCTCTTTTCTTTTCTTTTTTCTTTCTTCTTCTTTTTAAAAATTTTTTGGGGGCTGGGAAGGTGACTCAGTGGTAGAGTGCTTGCCTTGCATGCCTCAGGCCCTGGGTTCGATTCCTCAGTCCCACATAAGCAAAAAGAAAAAAGCCAGAAGTGGCGCTGTGGCTCAAGTGGTAGAGTGCTAGCCTTGAGCTGAAGAGCTGAGGGACAGCGCCCAGGCCCAGAGTTCAGGCCCCACGACTAGACCAGAAAAGCAAAGCAAAGCAAAGCAAAGGAAAGCAAAGCAAAGAAAAGAAAAGAGGTTTGTTTCTGGAGTATAAAGACTACAGAGCTAAGACCACACACTAGATCTCCTGATTTTCCATCTACTATATCAGCTGCCTCTAGTAAACCAGGATGGATGCAAGCTCCACCAAAGAGAATGAGTTTAAAAAAAAAAATCAATGGTAACAAGATCCAAAGTTGAAAACAAATGATTCCCCATGTGTATAGAAACACACTAGCCTGGAGAACAATCAGGAAGCCTTAAAAAATAATAATAATAAAGCAAAGTAAAACGGAATGAAGTACAGATGTTCTTCATGCTGCTCTTACAAAGGCCTAAGGCCTGTTTCCCCCCTTTAGTCTATTTGTCGTTATCCTGCGGGGTCAAACCCCAACTCCATTCATGTTTGGAAAACTCATGAACTATATAATTCATTGATTTAAAGTATAAATTCAATCATTTTGAATATGTTTACAGAGTTATGCATCCATTTTATTGCATCAATTTGAGAACATTTTTATCCCTTCCCAATAAATATCATGTCCTTTAGTGATCATATCCTCACCCTAATTCTTCCATCCCTCAGTAACTACTAATCTGCTTTCTGTCTTTAAACAATGACTGCTGCTAGACGTACCACATAAATGGATGGTCTTTGTGACTGGCTTCTATCACTTTGCCCAGAGTTTCCAAGGTTCGTCCATGCTACAGCACATGTCATCCCTCCTCTTTAACTGATTGCAGCCACTCAGACACCCACAGCTCAAGCTTTTTTTGCCCTTGAGATGCACAAAAACTGACATGGTCAGATGTGCATAGGAGGAAAGAGGAAAAAACAGGAGATGGAAAATGGAAACACAGAGACAAAGATTACTACACATTTCTTTTCATACTTACTTTCATTTTGTAACGCTGCCTCAGCCTTTTCAACAGTTATCAAGAGATTTTCAGAAAGGTCTTTTCTTTTGCTCACTATTGGAAAACCATTCCAGACATACATCATTTCCTGATGAGGAAGAATGAAAAGCCATTTGCAATTATATGAAGATACTCAACATCTTTCATCTCCACAAAAGCACATACATGTGTCTTGCTTTGGTTGCTAAGGATCTCAAAATAATACTTAGGGATCACTTACGTTAGCTTACTTCATGTGGAGCTTAGTGATATAATTCTCTCATTTTATTACATGACTTTTTCCTTTTATATTATAGAAGTAATAACAATTTTTAAACTGACTCTATGAACGATTCTGTTTAATATAAGTTTTTGTTGTTACTCTTAAGTAAAGGGAAATATTTTAAAATGTCTGCCAGTTGTTTACATAAAATGTTTCCAAGCATATCACTAGAAATGAACATTGGAATACTGGGCTCCAGCTCCTCTTATACCATTAAAAACATGTGTCGGTCCAGCAATGCAATCCAATAAGCAGAAAACACATTTGTTTAAGGGCCATATGGCTGAATGACAGCTTCTGAAAATGTAAAGTAATGATTTCTCATGGCAGATTATATTTAATGGGCTAACAGATGAGAAATTTTTTTGGACCAAAGGCAAATGTGCTTTTGCTTGAAAATATTTTTTCTAATGATCCTGATAGTACAGTTTGTATTTTGAAGGGAATACAATAAGCAGTCTAATTAGTATCTTCTTAGAAAAAATGAATTTTAAAATATCATGAATATTGTTTGAAAAGCTTCATAGCAAGGAAGTAGTAGAAATGACATATTCAGGCAGAGTGGCAGTGAGTTAACTTCATGGCATGAAAATTAACATCACAACACCCTACCATACATTTTACATAAGACAATTTCTTACTGTTTAACCAAGTAAGAGCTCAAGTCAACACTTATTTTTAAATTGTTGATTTAAAATTGTTTACAGATGGAATATTTTATCAGAAGAAGGCAAGCTCATGTCTGAGAATTAATGAAAAACAAGTGCTTGTGGTAAAATTACAGTAATTCAGGCCAACTCCCTATTCATTGTACATCCATAATCACAGAGAAGTTTGGGTAGTGAGCTAACCTTTCTTAAGATTCTCAACCATCAAAGCAGGACAATCATGTACCACTAGACTCTTAAATACTACTGCAGAGAAAGAACTATGAGGGTTAACAACATTTCTGAAAAGTTCTATAAGACAGAAAAACTTTCCCAGAATAAACCGCTTGATAAAAATGAATAAGGTGCCGGGCGCCAGTGGCTCACGCCTGTAATCCTAGCTACTCAGGAGGCTGAGATCTGAGGATCGTGGTCCAAAGCCAGCCCGGGCAGAAAAGTCCATGAAACTCTTATCTCCAATAAACCACCAGAAAACCAGAAGTGGCACTGTGACTCAAGTGGTAAAGTGCTCCCCTTGAGCTGAAGAGCTGAAGGGACAGCGCTCAGGCCCAGAGTTCAAACCCCACGACGGACAAAAAAAAGAATAAGGTCAGGCACCAGTGGCTCATGCTTGTAATCCTAGCTACACAGGAGGCTGAGATTTGAGAATCAAGGTTCAAAGCCAGCCCAGGAGGGAAAGTCTATTGAGACTCTTATGTCCAATTAACCACCAGAAAACTGGAAGTAGCACTGTGGCTCAAAGCAAAAAAGTTCAGGGAGAGCAACAAGGCACTGAGTGCAAGCTTCACAACCAACAAAATAAATAAATAAATAAAAGATCTCATGAGGCCTGGAACTAAAATTAAGTGGTAACACAGCAACAAGCTTTCATGTTAGCTGGAATGTTTGGTGAACACTGAGATGTGCAGTGCTTTGGTTTTGTTTGTGCTCTGATGTGATTAGAAACTGGTCACACTTTTGGCTTACTCTGTCACACTCACAGAACACCTCCGACTGATGTTACTGTTCCCTGGTATTGCTTATGTCAGATAGGGACATGTGTACTAGTTGCAGGTTAGCTTTTATGTCTGACCCCTGTAAGAGCTGTACTTTCTGTTCATGGGATATGTAAACAGTTCCTGTAAGTCAATAACAAGACAAGAAATGATACGTGGAAAAGTTAAGGGAGGATTATAAACACCAATTCACAAAGGAATAAACACACAAAAGATGTTCAGTGTCCCCAGCTGATCAAGGCAAATTTAAAAAACAAGACATTGATAAGAAGCCTCAAAAAGTCATGTAACTTGTTATGTCCAGTATTTTTTTTAATTAATTTATTTTTTTTGGACCGGTCATTGGGCCTGAACTCTGGGCCTGGGCGCTGTCCCTCAGCTCTTCAGCTCAAGGCTAGCTCTCTACCACTTGAGCCACAGCACCACTTTCCGGCTTTTTTCTTTTTTGCTTATGTGGTACTAAGGAATTGAACCCAGGGCCTCATGCATGCAAGGCAAGCACTCTACCACTGAGCTACCTTCCCAGCCCTTTTTTTTTTTTTTTTTGGGGGGGGGGGGGGTGTCCAGTCATGGGGCCTGAACTCTGGGCCTGGGCACTGTCCCTCAGCTCTTCAGCTCAAGACTAGCATTCTACACTTGAGCCACAGCGCCACTTCCGGCTTTTTTTTTTCTGCTTATGTGGTGCTGAGGAATCGAACCCAGGGCCTCAAGCATGCAAGGCAAGCGCGCTACCACTGAGCCACCTTCCCAAACCATGTCCAGTATTTTTGAAAGACAATTGAATAAAAAATTTAAGCAAAAATTAAGTTTTTTACAAAGGCTTTGCCTAAATGGCATTAATGATTAGGAGTATGAGCACAAGCTGAACTAGAACAGCCATCATCCACTTTGGGCTCTTGAGTACTGGAAATATAAGTGTGTAATTTCTAAGAAAGAACTAGTTCCATATAAAAGGATGTAAGCCAGGTGCCAGTGATTCAGGCTTATAATCCTAGCTACTCAAAAGACTGAAGTTAGAGGATCCCAGTTAAAAGCCAGCCTGGGCAGAAAAGTTCATGAGACTCTAATGTCCAATTAACCAACAAAAAGACAGAAGCTGTAACTGAAAAAGCTAAGGGGTAGTGCCATGCCCTGAGATCAAGCCCCAGTACTAGCCAAAAAAAAAAAAAAAAAGGAAAGAATTTAATAAATAAGCTTATACTAATTGCCAGTGCATGTTGAAATGAGAAAATTTGCATATATGTGTTCAATGATATTCTTAAAAGTTCATTTCATGTTTCTTTGTACTTTTTCTTTTTTTTTCTTTGTACTTTTTAATATGGCTAATAGTAAAGGTAAAATTATATTTGTGGTTTGAATTTTTTTAACTTTAAAAGTTTATTTATAGACATGTCAGAATCATTTAAATTAACAATGATTAAATTTTAGACATAACATACTGTGTTTACCTTGAGGTATACACTGTGTCCACAGACAATGCTCTGGAAAGTAATCCAACTATTAACTTGTAGTTAACCACCTAAATAGTTTTCGAAGCCAAGAAATTGCAAAGATGGCTACAAAATTCCTTGAAAACAACATACCATTTCCATTTAAGTTAAGGAAATCTCCTCAAATTCTTAACTGAGTTCAACTTTTTAAAATTTTAAATCAGAACTTAACGTGAGCATGGAAGAATAAGTTTCTAACTAAGCAATCAGCTGAGCCCTATGACGTGGAGATTGTGAACAAAAGAATTTTTGCATTCTGCTAAGCTCTACTATAAAACTCTTAGCTTAGGAATTAGAGCAGCAAAATTACAGGAGACAACTGAATCTAGTTTAAACTGAAATTTCGTTTACTCCTTGTTTTTGGCTATCACAATGAGGCAATTTTAAAATACTAAGTTTCGAAGACTAAAATCATGTGATTTAACACACTGTAGTCATAAAAATCCCCTATTATAACCTCACAATGTAAAAGTCTCCTTTTCCATCAGGTTTGAATTATTTTTAATTCAATTCCAGAGAAGTCAACTTGCCCTCTCCCTGCCTGAACTTCCTTAAATGTAAAATGGGACAAACAGTTATTATGCAAATTAAATGATAAAGCTTTAAGTAGCTTTTATGATAATGCCTGAAACATACAACTAATCAAAACCCATAAGTAATAATTATTTTTTAATTATTTATAAACATTTACCTTGTAAAATTTAACTGAGCTATAAATCTCACAACCAAATTCAGATATGCCCCCTGACATTTGGAATAGAGAACGTTTTTCTAGGATGCAAATAGTAACTAATATAAAAGCAGATACCAGGGCTGGCAAGATGAGCTTCACGGGAGCAGGCAAGGAGGGGGAGTAACGCCGTGCCTTCCGCACAGCAAACTTCTCAGTAGGGAGAGATTTACCAGCAATTCTCTGCTTCAAACCATCCACCTGTCTGAAAATCCCAAACAAAAGGTCAGTAAGCACATATGTTATTTACTCATGGCTTTCATACCACACACCACAGATCATCAGCATCAGTAGCACCTGGGAACTTGCTGGGCTCCACCACAGACCTAACTGAATCAGCAACTCCATGGCTGGGCACCAGCACTGTGGAGTCTGATGCATCCATCACGTGATTCTGCAACACATTCAAGTCAGAGCCACTGAATGACACCTCACATCTATCCAACATAGTCCAGGAAACATTGTCAATTTCCTTAAGAAGAGTCTAAGAAGGAAGAGAGTATACTAATACATTTCCTGTTTCTAGCTGCAATGGTACAGGTCTATAAAGTGATGCAGGCCTCAAAAGGTAGCCATCAATTAATGTATAATTTGAGGAAAAGTTTTCCTGCAGATGTCTCTGAAAATTGTACAGAATTCCAATTGTGAAAATCATAAACGTAAAGGCTAGAATGGGGGACTACATACACCTGAAGGCACTTTTACATTTTGGACTGAGTGGTTTTTGTTTACATCTTCGAGGCTGGTTTTGAATCTAAGATCTTTCAACCTCAGGCTCCCCAGTGCTGGGGAGGCATCTGTACACTACCATGCTCAGCACCTGAGGACATTAATATGCACAATTGTATTAATGCATCCAGTAAGTTGCTGAGAAATGATTCAAGGAACTATCTAATTACATCACAGAAAAAAATAAAATAAAATAAGAGGGAAAAAATCTAGTAGCAGAGCCCCAATAATAATGTCCTACTGCCAAAACCAAGCCTTCTAGAGATACCCAGTTATACAGGCACAGCTGCAGGAAGCTCAAAGGATGACATTTTGACTCTCCGCTAACTGCACTGTTTTAATACTTCCCATATCAAATGAGCAGGGCAGTTAAATAAAAATGAAAGTGAAGCACAAGAGAACAGAAGATACATTTGTATCTCTTTATGTACCTAGGGGCTTTGTTATAGAAATGATGTCTTGCTTACCTAAATAAAGTTACCACATTCTCATTAGTTGCTACCACATCCTTCTCTGGAAGCATACTCAAAATGGCAGCTTTCAAGAACACATATGTTGCCTTGAGGAGAAGAAGAAAAGGAGCTGGCTATTGAACATCTTTAGGTACTTTGCACTTCTACCTTGAAAATTAGGAATGGCTTACACATTTTCTGGATATAATATTAAGAGGTGATAAAGAAATCAAAGAAAATGAAATTTTTAGTTGTCTCTTTCAAATGAGAATAGCACTTTTCAATAAATTGAATTTTTTTTCTTCTTTCAAGACTATACCACATTCATGGGTAAGAAAGTAGGCAGAATGAGATTGTCACCTAATTGCTCCCAACTTCTCACTATATATCAGAATTCATATTTTGTTATTGTACAGAGGGTTTACAGTTATGTAAGTCAGGTAAGGAGTACACTTCTTTTTTAACAGTGTCATCATCTCTTCCCTCATTTTCTCCCAGTTTTTCCCTCCAGAATTCATTTTAATAATCACAAAAAGTTTGGTCATCAGGGCACTAGGAAGTCTACAGAAATTATCCAGAGTACAGTATAAATGTGTAATACTTTAAATGTAAGTGTAATTTATCTTTAGATGAGCTATTATTCTCCTTGTTAGAAAAAAAACTTTTGGGGTAGGTTTTAGAGCATGTAATGCTAAGGACAGTGTGATCATGTAGCATGTACTTAATACTTATTTCCTAATCTTGTGGATCTCTAAAGGAGAGAAGCTAATGTTAATGTCATACTATGAAAAGTTCTAAATAAAAACCACCCTGACCACTTCCATCTAACAGGTGATATTAATGAAAACACTCTTCTTTACCTTTGACCATTTACTCTCTTTGCAAAGTAGATCTGAATAGTGATATGCCTGCATCCAGTTTTGTTGGAATATAGAAGTCCACATTAGCTCCCAGTAACAGAGATGGTGAAACTGTTTCCATTCTTCTTGAACTGAAATGCATTTTCGAAATATCTCTTGTGCCTATAAGTCAATTGCATAAAGCTGATCATCCAGATATTAGATAAGGAGATAATAACCTAATGGAAAAATACATAAAACACTTTGTACAAGAAGAACAATATTATCACTCATTAAACCATGCAAAATGATGTTATTCCTTTCCTTAAATTCAATGATTCACTTAAGTTCATTTAATGTTATGAGGCAATCTTGGCACCTTTTCAAGTAAGATATAAAATGCCAACATCTTTTAAGAAAAGACTGACACTTGTTAGAATTTCCATAAGCCAAAACACACTTAACAAAGTCCCAGGCACTAGGCATATAACTGATCAAAGATTAACCTCTATTATTAGATAAAAATTTTATAAAGTTACAAAGAAACATGTGAAACTATAAACAGGCAAATTGGAGCACAAGATATAAAGTGACAAATGTTTTTCCCATATATATAATGTATATGCACATATATATGTATATATGTTTATGAATTTATATAATTTTCATATATATAATTAATAAGCTGAGTAACTGGCAAAGATTTAAAAGATGGTAAGTGAAGCTGTGGCTCAAGTGTTAACGGTACTAGCTCAGGGTCAGTGCCCCAAAACCAGAAAAAAAATTAAAAATTAAAAATTCCAACAAAACTGGATGCAGAAATTTTCCAGAGTTGACAAAGAACACTGGAAATATACAATCTCCTATCTTTATAGAAGTTGACACTGAAAGGCCATTATGAAAGGCAATTTGGCTGTTTTTGTCAAAATGCAAACATCTTCTGATCCAAATCTTCAAACAATCAGAATCAGACTTTTGTCAATATTCCTAAACACAGAAATGTATACATAGGAAGATTTCCAAAAGTGTTGTTATTGTAGTGCCAAACAGGTATCAGAACTATACCATTTTTTTTGGGGGGGGGCGGGGGAGGTCCAGTCGTGGGGCCTGAACTCTGGGCCTGGGCACTGTCCCTCAGCTCTTCAGCTCAAGGCCAGCACTCTACCACTTGAGACACAGTGCCACTTCCGGCTTTTTTCTTTTTGCTTATGTGGTGCTGAGGAATCAAACCCAGGGCCTCATACATGCAAGGCAAGCGCTCTACCACTGAGCCACCTTCCCAGCCCAGAACTATACCATTTTTTTAAGTATGGTATGTGCATTCCATGAAATAAAATCTGACCATCAAAATAGATCAAGGGAAATTTAGACTTACCTGAAAAGAAATCCAAGATGGATTATAAACAGAAAAAAGCCAAATCACAGAAATATATACGTGCTTGATCCCATTTGTGTGGAAGAAAATCATTATTATGAGTATATGCTTATAGGAAAGGCTCCTACTCTTCTACTGCACCTCAGGAATTAGTTAACAAATTCTTATGAGGAACTGTGTAATACAGACTTGGATCTTATGTAAGGATGAGAGTCCAAAGTGAACGTCATGCAGAAATGGATAACAGAGTTCTTTAAACCCCTTAAATTGCCCACCTGTTATTTTGTGTATCTGTCCTAAATTGCCTTATGCATTTTATGTGTAAATGTACTTTTAGGAATATTACTATATATAATAGGATACAAACACCAAGTAAAATTTCAACTTTTTAGTTGCATTGCCTTTTTCTTTTGTCTGTTTATGTTGAATGTGTGACACAACGCCGCTCTTTAGACACTACCCTGAAAAGCTCTGTGTCCTCCCCGCCCAAAATTTACCTTTTCAATATTCCCTTTCAGTAACTCAATCCGAGCATGATAGAACAACATGAGTGAGCCCTGTGAAGAAAAAAAAAAAAAACATTGTTCAAGAGTCTGACTGAGGAGCCGTGACTGAAATAAACAATTGAAATGTTCTGCATACATTTGGAAACTGCTGGAGGAAGGGTGCGAGGAGCCGCTCTGCTTCTACCACATTCACTTCTCCTGTCCCTGGAAATTCAACAGGAAAAGCTTCAGTCTTCATGAATACAGCAGATGTTTGACTCAAATTTCATTACATAAAGACTTACTTGTGGCAAAGGAGAAAACTATCACTTTGTCATTCTTTTTTTTTCAAACATCTGAGAACTAAAGACAAGTCTTATCTATGACTTTAGTTTAAAAGAATTCTAGGGCAGACAAACTTAAGAACAGAGGTGGCTGTCTTAGATTTCTAACTAGATTTTCCAGTTAGCACTGTACATATTTTAGCCAAAAACTTAATTTTCTACAAAAAGAGAATCCAACGTAATTATGTGAAAAATACATGACTTAATAAAAGAAATTTTAGCCGATTCAGATATTTTAAAATTCAATGAGAAAAAAAGTCAGCCCAATTCCTCTATATAAAAGGTCACTACTCTCCATCTTTATGGGAAAAAAGAAAAATAAATAGATAAAACCAACTCTGGCTTGTTTTGCTAAATTTTCACTCACTCAATTTTCAGAAGCATAATGTTGCCCGGCCCTTACCAAGTATCAGGGAAATGTAGGTATGGAAGGCTAGGATGGTTAGGCAGCAAAGTGGAGACCTCATGCTCTTTCCTGATGCACCTTCCCGTAACTGCAAGAGGCCCAATTCCTATGGAAATCAAATG